CTCCGACTCAGGGAGAAAATGTATAAATGTCTTGAAGACGAGAGGTTTTCGGAATGTAATAACCATTAGAGTTATTTACCAAATCGTATGGTATTTGGGAGAGGAAAACAGGAACAGACAGGTTCGCACTAGAAGTTTCTGATGACGACAAATTTGGAGTTATACGAGGCTTTTATCTTATAACAAACATGTTGAAAAAATTTTGTAGATATTGTAAGAATTAGACGATCGTAAGCGGTCATAAAAAGAGATTCGGAATATAAACAGCTAACAGAGAGGAACCGTCGTGGTCGTGCAGACTAAGTGTCGGATTGGTAGACGAGGGATCCCGAGTTCAAATCCAGTCGGTCTTCGTTAATTTTTTCCGAATCTAATAGATATCTTTCAATCTCAGAAGTGGGATTCAGCCCATGTTACCTCAGAGAGGATTCAGCCCATGTTACCTGACAGGGAGAATTCAGTCGATTTTATGAGTGTCGTTTGTGTGTTGTTCGAAATGAACCAAGTCGAGGAGTTAAAATACTCCAATATCGTGTTGATCGTTCAAAAGTGAACGGAAAAAGTCGTGGAGTAAAAGTACTCCAATGTCGATCGTTCAAAAAAGTGAACGAATTCGGGAACAGAAGCTCTAAGTTTCGGGTAAAATTCCGGTAGATGAAGACTCGGTACATTTGGGACGAATGTAATGCCAGAATGGCCGAGCTGTAAGAATTAGACGACCGTAAGCGGTCATAAAAAGAGATTCGGAATATAAATAGCTAACAGAGAGGAGCCGTCGTGGTAGTGCAGACTAAGTGTCGGATTGGTAAACGAGGGATCCCGAGTTCAAATCCAGTCGGTCTCCGTTAATTTTTTCCGAATCTAATAGATATCTTTCAATATAAAACTCTAGATTTTTCTAACATGGAATTATACACTAGGAAGGTTATTTTCCTTAATTCTATGGCAAACAAACGAAAAATATCTGAAAAATGATTAGATATTTCTTGGAGTTATGTAGCTAAGATTGATTTTAGATCGGCAGAAAAGGGAAGTAAAATGGACAAAGATTGGAATTTATGTTACAAAAAAATTAAGTTTTGTTATATTATACATATTATACCAATTCATAATAGTGTTTCTTTAATATTTAATTATTCTTAAAAGTACAAGTTTGTATATGACAATACGTTACATGAGATTTTTCGCATTTCCTTTTTCCATGAAGAAAGATTTTACGAAATAATTATATGATTGGCCTATCATTATCTTTGTAATCTTCGCTGACTATTTTGAGAAACTGTTTAAGCTTATAACTGCGAGACAAATAATAAAGAAATACGCAGCAATATTATCCACAAGTCTGAAAAAATGTACCCTGTAATCGTATGATGTTCCATTTATGAGTAGTAGAATTTCGTCGAAGTCGTAAATTGAATCTGGAATCCAAGGTAATCCGTAGCTATCGAAATACGTGCCTTCTCCATTCTTATCTATGTAGAAAGCAATCCAAGAACGATCGTGATTATCGGTGTTTGCGACGATGGTCATCGACTTCGTTCACACCCTCGGGATTCTGTCGGCAGGATACACACACGTCCGACACTGAGATGATACAACGCTCATAGAGATTTCAAGCGAATTCATCTTTCGCAAAGAGAAATGATTTTTGAGTTGTTTCCTGGCTCGTCGGTGTCGTTATATTTTTATCTTCTTGCGAGGATTGTACGGTAGGAGCTTCCTTTTTTTCATGCGTAGATTTTCTTTCTCCACTTTTATTTGTTTGCACCTCGCTTGTTCTGTTTCTAATCTCTTATTTCTCCACGTAACGAGATTCAGGAAATTTTGTTTTATCGTAAAAACGCTTTTTGTATCACTTGGAGCTTTCATCGATAAAAGAATTATCTGCTGATATCGCAATTCCCTTCTTTCAATTGCATCCAGTATCTCAATTTGCATTGCGTAACGCGCAATGAAATTTGTCGAAATTTCAATAAAACCCGTGATTATTGCAACGTAATTCATGCTCTTCGCCTTCCGACAGGTTTTTGAATGCGGGAGAGATTTCCTCTAGATTATATACATTTCTCGCGAGTGTGTTTTGCAAATAATGTACCTTCTCTCGACCTCTGGTGTATATGTAACGCGCTTGCCGTGCATTCACGTAGTTCCGCCGTGAAATGTGTGGATTTGATTGTTCCGTCAAACCACTCAATTTCGTGGAAGTTTTGAGAGAGCCAGTTGTTTTCTCGTCTATATTTTTCGAGTAATTCGACAAATAGATATGGAGGCAATAATGCAGTGGCTTATGAATGCTTCGTTAACGGCGACAACCGCCACTTCCTTCGGTATAAACTTCCCCTCAGCGTCGCGGAAACTTTGTATATCGATAACTATATCCATGATGCATAGAATGCATTTTCAATCTGTTTTGCCCGACGTTCGCGTCTAAAGCAAAACTATTTTTCGTTATGCTTTCGGAGAAATAGAAATGAAAAATAAATAGCGGTGGCAGGGGAAGAAATTCGAGTATATCTTATCCACTAAAACCCTGGTAAAAATAAAGCGTTAAGCGAGCGTTAATAAGGTATTATTTGAAGAGTAAATCTAGTGTAAAGGGAAAATAATAGAAGTGTAAGAGAAATTTATAAGAGGCGAAAATTGGGACCTCGAAACTTAAAGCAAGCGACAACTAAACGTTAAAAAAATGTTAACAAAACATAATAGAATTTTTTGGCAAGTGTGAGGAAAATGATTGTTAAATGGAAATGGATCGTTGTCAAACTGTATGGTGAACATCAACAGAACGTTATCGAGTTTTCCAACAAATATAAACGGAATATTATGGAAATCCTTAGTAAACGTGAACCAAGAATTTATTTATTTATTGAAACGTCAGAAATTTTTAGAATTTAAATCCAGAACTTATTCTAATTGAATATCACAGTTGCTTTAATATAATTTGATTCTAAATTAAACAATCAGTGAAATTATTG